CGCTGTGACCAGGAATGTTCTAGATAGATGCTGCTTGGTCGGCCTGGATTCTCAGAGTGTGATGACAAGCAATAAATAGCTCATGTAAACAAGAAGCAGCCCTGTGTGGCTGTCAGCCCCTGAGACACGGGGGCTTGTTCTGGAGCATCGTCTACCCTTCCCTGAAGATGCACTCCACCACCCAAGGTATCCTCGGGTCTCAGAAGTAATACTTCATCTGTGACAAGTGATGGTGTGTTGTCTCACAATGTCCAGCTGAAAGGACAGCTGATGAACATTAGAACACCCCAACATTCTGAACTGCACAAATGGGTGGATTCAGATAAAGCTATTTGCTTTTCACCTACTGCTTCAATTTTCAGAAAATTGCCCAAAGTTATTGCAAACCATTTGCATTTTTGTTGGCTTGGTGAAGGGAGTTGGCAGTATCAAGTGGTCCCTCGTTAAAAGCCACGTCACTACGTATGTAGAGAACATAATAAGCCAGAGAGAAAGAGAATGTTCCTAGGAGACTTCTTAGAATACTGGCAAGAAGAGGAGATAAACAGAACAGTTGTTTATAAACAAAGGGAAAAGAGACAACATTGCCTTAGTGTCTTTGACTTCGTGACTTTTTATTACACAATTGATTAAAATGACAAGTCTAGTTTCCCATAGCCTGAAAGTGGATTCTACTCTGTGCCTGGGGAAAAGCCATGTGTATTAGCTCTGTGGCCTAAAAGAGTTTAACTAGTCCTGAACAGCCTGTGTTCTCGGAATGCTTAACGCTACAGATCTGCAAAGTTCTTTCATGGAAGAAACTCAGAGCACTTGGTGAATTAAATTAGGAAAGTACATACAGCTCTGCATGAAAAAATTCAGCTTTATGTGCCATATTGGTATTATCAAAAATCTATCACTTTACAAAGAAACTTCAACTCAACTTCTTCAAACTGGGTGTGCAGTGAGAGCATTTACTCATAATAAATGATACTCATTTCCAGAGTATTCCATCCTAAAAGCTCCCCTGTATTAGTAGCATAGAAGGTTAGATTTTTTCAGAGGATTAAACTGGCTGAGAATCAGCACTGTTTCCTCCAATTTCCTCAAAGTGAATATTGCTTTGAGAAGAAGAGCAAAGAGAAGATCAGTGGTTAGGTCAGTGGCTTTAAAAAAATGCCGCTTTTCTTACTCTGAATTTACCATAACCAACAAGGCCACTGGCTGCCAATAATAGTTTAAGTTAGAGCAGAAAGAAGAAAACAATGATTTAGGGTTGGAAGAAGGTTCAGTGGTTGCCTACTGCGAACCTCCACTTCACAGACAGTAGAACGAGGTCAGAAGACTGCACCTTACCCACACTGACTTACCCACTGAGTGCCAGACTGGAGTCAGGACGCCACCTCCAGACCCACAGGCCTGCACTCGCCAGGCTGATCCTGAAATATCAGTGCAGCAGGCAGCCAAATACCCGTAGAAAGGAAAAAGAACAGTTCGTCAGAAGGTGTCCTTGGCAACCCATCCGGACCTCAGTGAATCTCTGAATCTCTTTCCTTATCTGTACAATGGGGCTGAATATCACCTGCCCTGCCTCCAGGCAGATGGGGTTGGGAGATCAAATGAGATATAGTCTTCCTAAATGTTGAAGCAAAACATAAATGATAATAGTCCCGATGTGTTGAACACTTGGAACATGTGAGGCTAAGCATCATTTCGTTATCACAGCATACGAGGAGGCAAGAAAGCCATTGCCTTCATTGTACCTGGGAAGGTAAGACTTTGGTTAAATAGTTCACCCAAGACCTCACGGATTTCAACCAGGTCTAGCTGACTGTCGTATTTGAGCATTTAATTACCAATAATACCATCCAATAATACTACTAAATACAATACTATAATATAAGATACTACTAATATGTAGTATATATCACTGTACTAGTACTATACCATACAATGTACTGTAGTACTTATTATATATATAATATACATAATATAATATATATAGTACTAATATTATATAGTACTATAGTACATTGTATAGTATAGTACATACTATAGTATATTACTATATTACTCTAGTATAGTATATTGTATATTACTCTATTACATAGATATATTACTATTTATAAAATAATATAATAATACAATAATAGTATAATAGTACTGCCATACAAGATACCATGGTCAATGATAATAATTAGCATTGCACACACATATAGCCAAAGAGCATTAGAGGAGATAGTTATCCCATATGAACTACATCATAACATTTTTAGTATTTTCCTGATTTTTTACAGGTAGTTAAAAATGATTGCCCTTTAACCTTTTTCACGGATATAGTTGCATTGTTTTTAACAAATTGTAGTACTCTCCCCTTTCAAAGAATGAATTAGTGAGAAAATACTTTTATCCAAAACAGGGTTTCAGTAATTTATTTTTTGTGCCTAGTATGGGTTTTTCTAAAATATTTTCTTTTTTTTTTTTTTTTTTTTTTTTTTAAAGATTTTATTTATTCAGTTTTTTCCCCCCAAAGCCCCAGTAGATAGTTGTATGTCATAGGTTCACATCCTTCTAGTTGCTGTACGTGGGACTCGGCCTCACGTTGGACGGAGAAGTGGTGCCTCGGGGCGCTCCCGGGATCCGAACCCGGGCCGCCAGCATCAGAGCGCGCGCACTTAACCGCCAAGCCACGGAGCCGGCCCATCTAAAATATTTTCTTACATGTCAATGTAAAATTTTAAAAGACTGATTTTTAAAATATTGAATTTAGGTAAATTCAGCTTTTCTTATAGTCTCTTTACAATAAATGTGAATTGGAAATTGCAGCACTCTGTTCAGATTGGGCTCCACCTACAATGGCATTTCCACATCTGGACCATTCACTGAAATAACCTCCTTGCAGAATATCATGATCAGCCTTTGTCTTAGGTAGATATTCAATTTACTGATTTCCTATTTGTTTGCACTTTTTAACAAGTTGTGACATTTGAAGATAACTATCTTTTACTGAGGAACACTTTGATTTCTCAAGTGTGTGGGGGGAAGGTCAACTTTAAAAACTTTTGTCCTTTTTCTTTCGACTATGACTAAGATGTCTTTGGTGAGCAACTGGCAGCCCCTACCTGCTCACTCCCTCCCCTTCCCCAGGAGTGATGAGGACATCAAGAGTTTTAGTGATTAAAATATATTATTCTTTGTAGTCACCTCATCATAAAAAAAAAAATCACTTCCAGTAGATCAATATGACAATGAATAAACCAGAAGATGGCGTTGAAGATTAGCAATCACGTTTTAAAATAAGGTAGATGTTGTAAAGTCTCAGAAAGTTTCATACAGCCGGTGTTGTTTTGAACTTCTAAAAGGAGATGACTGAGGAAAATGTTGAAACTAACTAAAGCCGGTGCAGAGAACACGTGTGCGAAAGTGCTAAAAGCTCTCATTTGCCATTTTTGTTTTTAGCAATCTCCTTCTGTCTGTTGTTTGTGAACACCTTGGGGAAAAGTAATTCACTGATTAAAATGTAATGCAACATGGAGGCATGATCTCTGCTTCCTTCACTGAGTATCCCAGTGCCTACAACCATTCCAGACAAGCAGCAGGTGTGCAAAAAATGTTTGTGGAATGAATGAATCTGTGAAAGGAGAAGAAAGGAAGAAAAACAGGGTGTGACCAGAATTTTCTTTGAACAAAACCCTGTTGTTTATTACACAGACTCTGATAATGGAAAACTTACTTGGGTGAATAAAAATATGGCATCCTGTGAATTTCTGAGAAAGTCCGTTAGTTGTAGGAAAAGCATTTCTAGTCTGTGCCTCACTCATGGCCTGTTTTGCTCCAGCCTAACCTTATTTTTTTCTTCGGGTAGGAGACATTGACCCAATATATAAGATTAAAAGAAAAACTGAGAAATAAGTGAAATCAAAAGCTTTTCAAAAGTTGCGAGTTGACCTGCGGTGGTGATGGTCTAAAATCATATAGAAACCGCTGATCTGACGGTTTACCTGCAATCGCTAAGTACGTAAACATGCTCGGAGCATCCAAGACGCTCCGGCGAAAGCGCAGTGGACAGGCGTCAGGGAGCTAGTTTGGATAATAAGGGCATCCTAGAAAATTAAGTAAAATTGCAGGTCCGTTTGGATGTTACTCCTGTTGCGGACATTTATACCCCAGATTGCTTCCTACCAGGTTGAGGTTAAAACCATGTCAGTTAAAGTGAACTGAAGTGCAGAGCAATTAAGCGCTGGGATACTTCGGGATCCCTCCCCCAACTCTTTCATGTTGCCATAATTGAAACTTTGGGGGTCATGCATTGTCTATCTGAGTCACCTCAATTCACCAGTTTAATAGATGCAAGAGCGTGTAAGCATTTCGAACATGTGGACAGTATTTGAACCACAGTTTATGGCTCAAGGGATCTGGGCCATTTCCTTTTTTCTTTTTAATGAGCACGATGTTCTCTAAAGACCGTGGAGGAGCAGGGTTCTCGGTGACAGCGAGGGTCACCCCTCGCTGGGTGTGACCCACCCACCCACAGTTCCTCGATGTGGACAATTCCTCCGTCTTTGGTTCCGTGCTCCACAAGCGAAGTCCCCTTCGCACCGGATTCCCGCTCCTACACGCCCCCCACTTCCCGCCCTAACCGTGTCGCTGTCTTTAGCTGTTACTAGTTGTCTCCGGGCCTCCCGCAGGTCCTGGCGCGGAGGCGAGGTCCGCATTTCGCGCCTTGTCCTTCGCAGGAAACCGCCCAGAGTGAGGGTCCCCGAGGCCGCGCGAGCCCCACTCGAGGTGCGTTCGCTCTGCGCGGCGCGAGGCGGGTCGCCGAGGGCGCCGGAGCCCCCAGCCTGCGGCGGCAACCCCCCCCCCCGGACCCCGTTCCTCTGGCCCGGGCCCTGGGAGTCGCCCGCCGAGCCCTCGTTCTCCTCTCGCGGCGCACCGCCCCCCAGCCCCGCGGGCGCAACCGGCCCCGCCCGCCGCAGGCTCCGCCCCCAGCGCGGCTTTTAAGCTCTATAAAGTTCCTCTTTCCCACCTCTGAATCTTAGTTTCACCGCTTGAACTTGGGACCCACCGCTGCCCTCAGCTCCGAGTCGGGGCGAGGTAAGGTCTGGGGTCGGGCAGCAGCATAGATGTGAGGGTGGCACGACAGAGAACCGGGGGCGCGAGACCAGAGGTCCTGGGGTCCCTCTCCAGGGCAGCGCAGGGGACCCCAGCTTCGGAGCCGGGAGGGAGCACGCCCCTTGAGGGATCCCCGACTCGCCCTATCTCCTCTGGGTCCGGGGCCTTTGTGCGGGCTCGGTGGAGGGCCGCCCAGGTCGCTGCCCGAGCACTCCCGCCGTCTCTCCCTGCTCCCGCGGCCCCACCACTCTGCAGTCGGCCCAGCCCGGGCCGGGGGAGGCCACGCGCGGGACGGGATAACGAGACTGTCAGAGCCCCAGGAGTGGCCGAAGCGGGGCAGTCTAAGGGACCCACACGGGGTGGCGGGCTTTCCCGCGGGGGACAGTCCCTTACTCCCGAGGCTCCAATCCGAGGCTCCTTCTCTTGCTCCTCGTTCTTAAGGGCCCAAACTCACCGCGGCCTCCGGTGCGTTGCCCCCCGAGTAGTGGTGGAGGAGGAGGAGGAGCTCCAAATATGGGCTCCTCGGGGCGCTGCGCCCTGCGGTCCCTCGCTCTCCCCGGCACCCTCCCTGCCTCCGCTCTTCCTCGCGGGCCTCTGGGTCCGGCTGACGCTCGGCGTCCCGGAATCTCCCGCTACTTGGCAGCGCTCCTCACCAAAGACCAGGTGTCTATCGCTTGTTGCTTCCAAGGCCCACTTAATCCTTGCTATCTGGCGAGGGCTCAGGGATATTCTTGAAGCAAAGAGTGCGGGTGCGGGAGGTTCTAGAAGGCCGGGGGAGGAGTTGCTGAGTGCCGCGCACCTGGAACGCCCCGACCGCAGGCGAACCCGCGTGCGAGATCCTTGGCGCACGGGGGCCATCAGGGGAGTGTGAATTGGGGAGTGGGCGAGAGTGGAAACTGACAGTGACGGGGGAAATGGACTGGCGTCGGCTTGGGACTGGGCTAAGAGGAGCGGGAGCTACGAGTGAGCGTGCAAACGGAGTGCCAAGAGTGGTGGCGGCTGGATTTGGGAGCGTGCGCAAAAGCGAGAGTTGTGTGTCCGGGCAGCACTTGGGCTGTGGGGTGCGTAACAAGAATGGAAAGTTCAGAAGGTGGGGTAGAAGGATGGACTCCACGGAGGGGGCGCTCGGGAGGCGTCAGGACCGTGCGCGCCAAGGGCACGAGCCCGGGCCAAGTGAGAAGGTGCTTTCTCCCAAGGGCCTTCGGCAACACCGACTTCTTAGCGCGCGCGCCTCGCTGCCTCGGAGACTCCGGCACCTCGTGGTCATTACCAGAGGGGGTTGGGACAGGGTGCCCCGAGCGCTGTGCCGCAGTGGCTGAAAGGCGGCCCTCCTCTCCCCTGCAGCTCAGAGCGAGTGCCGGAGGCGGATCCTGAGCGCGTGAGGGCGACAGTCGGTGCGCTGGGCATGAACCTGGAGGGCGGCGGCGGCCGAGGCGGAGAGTTCGGCATGAGCTCCGTGAGCTGTGGCAACGGGAAACTCCGCCAGTGGCTGATCGACCAGATCGACAGCGGCAAGTACCCAGGGCTGGTGTGGGAGAACGAGGAGAAGAGCATCTTCCGCATCCCCTGGAAGCACGCGGGCAAACAGGACTACAACCGTGAGGAGGACGCCGCCCTCTTCAAGGTTACAAGCCCGCGGGGAGCCCACGGTCGGGATGGGAGAGGGCCCCGGAGAGCCCGGACGGTCCCTAACCCCCACCCCGCGGCGAGGCCGGCCCGCGCCGGCGCGCCCGGCGGTTCTCAGAGGGAAGGGGACCACACGGGGTGCGCGGGACGGTGTGTGCCCCTTAGGGCGAGCGGCCCGGGAGCATCAGGTGGCGATCGGCCCAAGCCACGGGAGAAGGAGATAGGTGTCAACTACTCTAGTGATTTCACAAACGGGGGGACCGGGTCCCAATCCTGAGTGTGTGATGTGAGCAGTACCCAGGGAGTCGGGCGGCTCCAGCGGCAGGGAAATGCCTGGAGGCTCAGCCCGGGTAGCGGTGTCCAAGGACGCTGGCTTGGGTGTTATAGTGCATTTCTGTTCTCATCGGAGCCTTTTTCTGTCCCTCTGGATCCCTCCTTGCCTCTTTGATCAGTGTGTGTGTCTGTCTCTTTCTGGGAGCACCCGGGGTGTGCTCGAGTCTGTGTCTGTTTTTCTGTCTCTCTCGTTCGTCTGTATTTGTTTCTGTTTTTTCTCTCCTGGTCTCTCTCTCTGGATATTTTTCCTTTGGTTGTCTCTCTCTCTGGCACGTGCTCTCTCCTTCTAGCTGAGTCCTTCCATCTGCTTCTCCTCTCTCTGTCTCTGTCTGACTCCCTCTTTCCAAGTCTTTCTGGAAAATTTTCTCTGAGTTTCTCTCTCTCTCTCTCTTTCCTTCTGGGTCTTTCCATCTTACTGTGTGTTTCTCTCTTTCTTTCTGTCACTCTCTCTCTTCCCCTCTCTCCTCCCCACCCCCTTTGGATTTCTCTCTCTTTCTCTTCTTCCTCGAGGGCCTCTCTCTGGACCTTTCTCTCCTGCCCTCGGTGTGTGTGTCCCTCTCATGACTGTTCTCCCTAGAGCAGTGCACCCACTGAACTGTGCATCAGGGCCCAGCCCCACCACCTGTGGGCAGAGCAGGGACGGGGACTTCCTCAGGGACTTTGCCCTCAGGAGACCTCAGATGGTCTGACTGTCCACATGTGCTCTACGAGTAGCAGCTCAACCACAGCTCTGTCCCTAGTTCCAATCAAACTTGCTTCAGACACTGGGTGGGTAGCCTTTCCAGGGGTCCTCCACATCTCACCTGTCTTTTACAAATACCGAGGGAATGTTCAAACCACTTGCCTTCAGCTCAGCGATGATAGGGTCCAGGGTGGAAAGCATTTTACCTGGAGGACACCTGGGGTCTCTTTGTCCCACATTTTGAGCAACAGTGTAAATCTGAAGCACCTAAGCACCATTCTTTCCTTTAGAAATGCAATTCCTAGATTCTTTTTTAAAAGATCTGTATTTTAACTATTTTGCCTCTTCTTTCCCACCAGGCTTGGGCGCTGTTTAAAGGAAAGTTCCGAGAAGGCATCGATAAGCCGGATCCCCCGACCTGGAAGACACGTTTACGATGTGCTTTGAACAAGAGCAATGACTTTGAGGAACTGGTTGAGAGGAGCCAGTTGGACATCTCAGACCCCTATAAAGTATACAGGATTGTTCCCGAGGGAGCCAAAAAAGGTGGGCCTTCTTGGATTTGGGTCACAGAATATGGGCAGCCTGACACTTGTAAGGCCTTAATTTCATTCCGAAGGTCATTTTTCCTGTTTTTGGTTTTTTATAGCCTGCCTGCCTCCTGCCTCAGGTTCAAGCCCAGCAGGCTTGTTGCCCAAGTTCTCTGGGTCATAAATTGAAATTCTTGTGGTATTAGTGCGGGATAATTTGTCAGACTTCAAGTCTCTAACTGGGTGTGTGTGCGCACCTGCATGTGCACGTCTGTGTGTTTTCCACACAGTTCTATCAAGATATGGGCCAAATTTCTAAACAAAAGGTGGAAAGCTTGTTCGAAGCTTTACTTACCTATCAGTCTTTCATGATTAACCATTTTGTAGAAGAGAAGCGTAGATACATCCATATATTGTTACTATTTATAGTAATAAAATGTCAACTTTTAGAGTGTACTGTGATCAGCTGGAGTGCTTATTAAAGTTCAGATTCCCACTTTCCAAGATTCTGACCAGTGTGTCAGAGTGGAGCCCAGGAATCTGCATTTTAAACAAACCATCCAGGTGACCTCACTTTGGGAACATCTTGCTGGTGCGGCCCTTTATGTCACAAGGTGCATCCACCACAGCATTGCATTGATTTCTCTACCAGTCCTATGTAAGTCAGACCTTGTAGAAATCAGTTTAACGGCCAGAACAAATAATTGCCCAGGGTAATTGCTGAAAAATGCCTCGTCAACACTGTGTTATGCCTTGTGAGAATTAAACCCTCAGGTGTTTTTCTAAGATCTGAGCTTTGGTTATGTTAGGTCCTTTTTTCACATTGTGCCATTTCCCTTTCACCCAAATACACAGGAGCAAAGCAGCTCACACTGGAGGACCCCCAGATGACTATGAGCCACCCCTACACCATGACGGCTCCTTACCCCTCACTCCCAGCTCAGGTAGGCGGAGGGCTCAGACACGGCTTCCAGAAGGCAGGCTGGATCTCTGTGAGGCCACGTGAGCTGGCTAGGCCCACACAGCAGGAGAAATGCGCAGAGGCCACAGAGCTTTGTTGTTGCTACTAGTCCGACAACCAAAGCAAAGCCCTGGTCATTGAATGGATGCCTCACTTTCCCCTGGAGTTGCAATCAGTGTTGGTTCTGAGCGGGGCGCGGGGGCCTGCCTGTCGGTATCAACTTCTACGACTGGTTCTGAAATCTGCTAGAAAACAGACCATTTGTGGAAGGTGAAGATTTTGGAAGTAGTGGTTTTATTCTGTGAAACCACAGGGCAGCTGACCCTTCACACTCTCCTGAGGGTGCCAGCGCTCTGGTCTGTTCCCTTTGGTGAGTGGAGAAGGCACATGCCCTGCAGTGCTTTGCGCTGGCTCCAACCACATGATGCAGCTCGGTGTGATCACAGCCTTACAACACTGCTTCACTGTGCGCCTTGACTCCCTGTGGCTCATCTCCACCTAGTGTGATGAGGGATTCACTCCAAAGTCTTTCCTGGTGTTAAAATGATTTGGCTGCCAGCCAAATAAGAGATTCCCTAAGGAGTTGGGGATGATATAAAAGAATCTGTGCCCTTTCCCAGTGCCAACAGCTGTTCTTTGCTGAGCTGGTTGCTTTGCATCTCAGCTCCTCTCTCGTGTTCCTTTAGCAGGTTCATAACTACATGATGCCTCCCCACGACCGAAGCTGGAGGGAGTACGTCCCTGATCAGCCACACCCGGAAATCCCATATCAATGTCCTGTGACGTTTGGACCCCGAAGCCACCACTGGCAAGGCCCAGCTTGTGAAAATGGTAAGGAGTGCACTGGGGCTGGCTCCCGTGGCTGCCACTGACCCAGCAGAGCAAAGCAAAGGGCCCTGGTCTCTCCTGAGCTGTCCTTCTGGGCAGTACACGGCTCTTTCTCCTTCTCAGAGCTGCTAGGAAAGACCTCCTGTGCAGTGAGGGAGGGTGTTCTCTCTCTTGCAGGATGGTAAGGTCCTCAGAGGAAGGACCAAGCCAAGATTTACTGACGATGGCTGGCTTATTGTGTGCTGGGACCTGTGTTTGAAACTGCCTTATGTGGGATCTTATTCAGACATTGCGGAGATCATTCCAGGCAGCTAAAAACTGCCCCAGTTTTTTAGAGGCAAGCTCATGGAATGTAAGTAATGTGCCCACAGTTACCCAGTGAGAGTGCGGAGCTGGGGTTCAATGTCAGATCTCCTGACCCCAAAGCCCAGCCTTCCGCTTAAGACAGGGGAAGTCAGATGTCAAAGTGGTTGGCTATATTTTTTAAATTATCTGTTTAATAGGTTAACATTTTTCATCCTCCTTCAATAATCTTAAGCTTTATTTTTACTCTTGGGCAAAAAGTAGTAAATTTTGGCAGTCTGCCCTCCTGGATTGTCGCTTCAGTGTTGACTGAGGGCCATATAATCACCGGTCTCTTTCTGTGTACACATCTGTAAAATGGGGGTGTGCTACAGCTGTGCCCACAGCCTCCCTCTATAGGGACACCAGGAGATTACTGGGCTCTGTGCCTATGTAGTTGTTCTTAGGATTAAAGGTGATAGTAAGAAGGGAGGGAACAAACATGAGGATAAAAACATCGAAAGTCTCCACAGGGTGCCTGGTGCTGGGGGTGGGTCTCTAAGAGCTGCCCCCTCCGGAGTAGAGGTGGCCCCGTGCCCCGGGAGGCCCCGGACGCAAGGTGAGAGCTCCCAGCAGAAGCGCTAGTTAGCTAAGAGCAGAAAATATTTCACAGGATGTAGTCAATAGAGCAAAACACAAGCTTTTAGGACTTCTGAGTTAGTTATTTAAATAGAAATTCTGCGATAGGTCAAAGCACAGGTCCTTTTGTATGTTCTAGGAATATTGACTCCTTCACAATGTGGCCTATCCCCCTTTTTCTAGTCATGTTCAGTCCACTCTTGGCTTATGGTATTGAAGAAGTATACCATTACTTAAGATTTGTATTGCGTGGCATGTTTACAAAGAAACCTCAGAATTCGGTTTTATTAGCTTTCAAGAGTGATTTGCAACAGAAGTTGGTTTTCTAAATCACAGTGGAGGAATTAGCTAACACTAAACTGGTGTTCAGACCTGTGTCCAGTGCATCAGGCTTTATTGAACTAATAACCTTAGTAAAGAGACAATGCCTAGAACTGTGCAAAAGGATGGAATAGGTAGACATATTTTGAGGGGTAGGTGACATTAAATGAAGTGCCAACAAAATTAGATTCTGTTATTATTTCTTTATTAATGTTTAGTGCACCACACAGCTGCTGTGCTGCCAAGAGAACTGGTTCAGTTTTCTCCTGAACCCAGAAGTAGCAAGCTAAATCAACGTGTACTAAACAATTTATAAGATTTTAATTGGGCTCTTTGGCACCAGAACTCACTTAGACTTGAACTCACAGCTCTCCTGTGCACTTGCTGTGTGAGCAAGGGTAAACTGCTTCATCTGTCTGAGCCTCAGTCACCCTGTTTACCAGCTGTGGGGGATGCTGGTCAAAGGGTACAAACTTCCGACTATAAGATGGTCAATTCTGGGGACCTAATGTGCAGCATGGTGACTGTTGTCAGCAGTACTCCTACTGGACTAAAAGTTGCTAAAAAAGTAGATCTCCACACACACACATACACACACACAACAGTAATTATGTGAGGTGATGGAAGTGTTAACCAACCTTAAAAAAAAAAAAAAGAATGAATAAATGAAAGAAAATTACAGCGGGGGAGCTCCAGAGTGTCCTTCCAAAGCTGTGGAAAGGCTCCTTCCTCCTTCCATTTGGTTTTTCCGATAGGACTTCAGTGTGTCTTTGCCTCTTGTGAGTACCGGCGGTCGGTGGTCAGCAGGCCTGTGGCCCTCCCCTCCCAGGGTTGGTGCCACCAGGGCCCGAGTGGCCACACCTCAGGGAGAGGCAGCCTCCTTATGGGTCGGACTAACTGTTTAGACATCATCTGATTTTTATTTGCAAATGCAGGTTGCCAGGTGACAGGAACCTTTTATGCTTGTGCCCCGCCTGAGTCCCAGGCCCCCGGGATCCCCATAGAGCCAAGCATAAGGTCTGCCGAGGCCCTGGCGCTGTCAGGTGAGTGCGCGTTCTCGCTAAAGGCACCCATGGAGGCCGTGCTGGCAGGCTTCCCCTCACCTTTGGGTGGATCTGCTGGGGCAATAGGTGAGCACGCCTGTGGGCACTCGCTTTCCTCCAGCTAGGGCCTGAAGTGGGTGTGGGCATATCTGCCTCCCAACCTGTGTGAATGAGGAACACCATTAGAAAGGTGAGCACTGAGAAGCCAGCTTATGACTCTGATGCCAATTCTAAACGCTGGTGAAGTGAGTCATTTTAAGTTCTCCACTGGCATCTGTCTGAATTTCCAAGAATATGCAAAAGCTCCAGTTTCATCTACCAAGGGCCCCTTTTCAGCCAGCCTTTTCACAGAGCAGTTTAGTTTCTGAGAAGAAAAGCACGAGGCTTCTCCTTTTGAAAAGCTGATCATCCTTCCAGGGTTAGCCGCAAATGTGTCTTCCTCGTTGGCTTCCTGGGGACGTTAGTGCTGGCTCCTTTCTCTCCATAACATTCATATGCCTAAAAGGAGCAAGCACTGTGGCTTCCTCTGAACTTTGATATGGCTTGCAAATAGGTATGGATTAGATCTGATTTTTAAAGTTCCATTTCTAAAAGAATCCCTGTACCTCGGAGATCTCACCTGCTTTAAAGAAGGCACCTCAGGTTTACTAAGCATATGTACATGTGTATATTTATTTTTTAGATAATCTTTTGGATTGTTTTAAAATGGGATTTGTATTTATTTTAAAAATGAATAGCTTAAGCTTCAGAATGTTCACTTTGCCCCTGGCCTCTTTAAAAATCAGTGACAGAAAATATGAACTAAATCCTCAAGGTTTCAGGGAGATGAGAGTTATGGGTACCTTTCTCGATCCCAGGGGAGCTGGAGTTTTACCACTTAGTTATTTTCAGTTCCGAAGTTCCAAATGAGGCTTGCTATTTGTCTTCTTAGGTGCTCCCAAATGATGGAGGGGAGGAGATATTTCTGAGCAGAAAGGCTTGTGTTTGTTTTTAGAAACTTTCAAACCCTTTTCTTGAGCACCTAAGACTGTGTGGGTGCCTGAAGAGTAGGAAATAAACAGCTATTTATATCACTGTGACCTCGTGATTTCTGATGACATTAAATGAAATGAAACCTGCCCTGCAAGTCACCTCAAATGGCCAACACCCACTCTCGTCGGGGTGCGCGCCTGAGCTCCTCTCTGCCAGCGCGTTCACAGCGGCAGAAATTGAAGTGGAGAATTGAGACAGTGATGTGGGTTGTTTAAGTCTCAGAACCTGCCACTGAGGAATAAGAGGGTTTTGTGGGTTTCTTTTTCTGGTGTGCATAATACAGATAAATTACCAACCTTGAGTGCATTTATTAGAGAACTGCAATTCCCGTTCATTTTTAAATCCCATGCAGGTGCCGATGGGGAGCTCCTGCCTGTCCGTGAAGCCCTGTTGATTTCAGTTCAGGGGCCTTTGCAAACCTAGCTGGGACCGTTCAGTCATGGGTCATATTTTAAAGAGGCTTCTGAAATCAGCAAAATTTCATAAATGAATTCGTCTTGTTTAATGCTTTAGAAAGCATAGTTTTAAAGTTATTTTCAACCTTAAACACAAAGCCTACTTGGGTTTTGGCAGAATTTACTCTTAGAACATTTTTCTCATTGATTCCTTTCTTTGCACATGAATAAATTTATTATACTAATAGTACATTTGCAGTGTAGAAAACTAATTTAAAAATAAGAAAAACAAAAATGGAAAATAAAAATATCACATTCTCACCAAGCAGAGATCATCACTGTTAAGACCTTAGTACTTAGCCTTCCTGCGACTTCAGTGTGCTCATGCATGTATAGAATTATTTTTTTTTTTACCTAAATGGCATCATATTGATATTTTAGGGTACTTTCAGATGTGTGGACATATTTGCTTTTTTTCTGAAACACTATTATATTTTTTTTGCTAGTAGAAATTAAACTTAGGGTTTACTTTCTATAAAATGAAAATAGATGGCCATGCTTAAAGATGAATTTTCCTTCAGTGGTTCATGACTTAGTATTTTAGACACAAATATTGTCATCACCACTATCATCATCACCAAAAACAAATGACGTAGGAGGTTTTCAACAGCGGTGTTCTCTAATAAAAGTCAAACATATTTTGCGGAAAGGTATGCTCCCACCCCAAAAAATCCATGGTCACATCAATCTGGACAATGCTGAGTTAGACAACATGAGCTAAGTTCTTTCTTGCAGGAATTCTCTAATATCTCTCACTGTCTGTGAATCTCCAGGAGGGAGATAAGGGCATGCAGCACTTCCTAGACTTCCTTGACCCTGGAACTTTTCACTTCTTATAGAGAATCTTGGGACACCAGTGTTCCACCCAATACACTTTGTTCTGGTCGAGTAGTTTGGTGTCTTGGTGGGTAGCCAATGCTCCTTGGTCCCTTAGCGCTGACTCCGAAAGCTCTGTGTTTGCAGACTGCCGGCTGCACATCTGCTTGTACTACCGGGAAATCCTGGTGAAAGAGCTGACCACGTCCAGCCCCGAAGGCTGTCGGATCTCCCATGGGCACACCTATGACGCCAGTAACCTGGACCAGGTCCTCTTCCCCTACCCGGAGGACAATGGCCAGAGGAAAAACATCGAGAAACTGCTGAGCCACCTGGAAAGGGGGGTGGTCCTCTGGATGGCCCCCGACGGGCTTTATGCCAAAAGACTGTGCCAGAGCAGGATCTACTGGGACGGGCCCCTGGCGCTGTGCAGCGACCGGCCCAACAAACTGGAGAGAGACCAGACCTGCAAGCTCTTTGACACACAGCAGTTTTTATCAGGTAATGCACCTAATTATCTGTTAGAATGGAGTCCCCATACCTGTGAGCCTTAGAGAGAGAGAATGGAGGTGATGATGGAGTGCCGGCCACAACGGTCAAAAACAGCAGGTTTCTCACCTTGGGCAGAGGTCTTCCTCCTGTTAACTCCTGAGCCCACTGGGCCTGATCCCAGAATAGTTTCCTGTTTGGTTCACCTCTCTCCTCTGCCTCTACCACCTACTCCTCCCCATCAGCGGAAGGGTGTGAAGAGGAGAGAGATTGCTCAGGGGACTGTGGTTCAGGCTGGTGTCTTGAAATTCTGGTATTCAACGAATAGTCACCTACTAATAAGGTTTCATTTTATTGAAAGTATGATCTCAGCAAGCATATCTGCTGATGTTTCGGCTCTTTTAAGGTTCCTAAGAAAATCGTAGAGGTTAGAAGTATATTGTTAACGTCTTGGTTATGAGATGTGTCATCCTTATGCGGGTGCCCTACAGCAGGTGGGACCAAGGATAGAGTGTACTGAACTGATTTTGCAGAAGGGGGATTATGAGAAGGCTTTGAGTGATGTCTATGATATGCATGTTTCTAATCATATTTTCCAGAACCAGTGAGTTTTGTTTTCCTAGTTTTGATTTCATGACAGTTCAATTAGGCCTGGGCAGGCTTTTGTGAAACCACTGGCCCTGTTGTTGTTGGAGCTTCATACAGACTGTTCATTTGGCTGTCTATATTGAGGATGCCTCTTTTGAAGGGAGAAAGATGTTCTGCCTGCTCGCTAACTGCCAATTCGTCCTCTGCTGTTTCTTTATCCTCCTCTCTTGTAAATGCCCCCGGCAGAAACACCATGTATCTTTGACTTTTTGTGTGCCTCTCCTTTCCTTGAACATGCTTCTTGATTCAATTCATTTAAAAATAAAATATGAGGCATCTGTGTGCTCTGGCACCATTGACATTTGCTCAGTCTTTTGGGTTTAAGTTGCCCAAATTTGCTTAGACTCATCCAAATTCTCTTTTGGTGCCCCAAAACAAATATGTCTCTAGATGACTAACCTTCTCATGGAAGTGTGACAAGAGGAAGAGGGAGAACTGAGTCTCTGGGTCCCCAAGGCCACACCACAGTGAGGAAGGCATGTGGGTCTGAGTGCCCCACCCTCACTCTGAGCTGCAGAAGTGCCTCCAGCCTGCACGGAGACCTGTTCTGTCTGTGCTGGGGTCCAACGTGGCGATCATGGCAGGGCCCGAGGAAGAGTGAAGGCCGCTGAGGGGCGCCCTGTCTGCACCTCCCATGTCTGCAGTGGGGTCTGAAAGAGCCCACTGGGTTTGGATCTCCTTAGAGATTGTGGATCTTGGTCTCTTTGGATTCAGAAGATACCACAGGGCTAGGGCTTTCATTAAGGCATCCCGGGGAAATGGCGCTTGCTCATCTGAGTTTCTCCCACCATGTATGCTGTAGGAAGGTAGGCTCCTCCTGACAACACTGGGCTGTGAGCTACACTGAGAGTCAGAGTGCACTCAGAGGTGGGTACAAGCAAGAAGTGGGCAGGCACATTGCGCCGCTGTGAGCATCCTCCGGCTGCCAATTCACCTGACTACAGTGTAATATTTATCTGTGAGCAAGACTTCTTTTGTTCTTTTCCTTCCTCTGTGACTGAGGGCTGTGCTTTTGGCCCACTGCAACCTCCTATCTTGAGGTTCAGGGAGGAACCTGTGAACTTAAAAAATGCAGCTGTGTAGAGCAGCTTCTGCATAATCAAGGATTCCCACAGAAGATTCTCATGTTATCAAGCATTTGAGGCATGACTTTTTCAGAGAATTGTGCCAACTCGCCACTCTGATTAGCTTGTGTAGGTGTATCTCAGACCTCGGCAGTGTGAACGCCTCTACACGTTCTGACTAAGTCGGTTAGGTTTGATTTGAATTCTGGAAGAAAAAAAAAGCAGGAAGTCAAATAGTCCAGTGGGTTAGCTAGAAACTTTTCTTCAGTTGAAGAGAACAGTGGAAATCTTTGATATCTACCCATTCAGGATTTGCAGACTCCTAGGGACAGCCCCTGAAGGCAGAGCCTGAGGGTGCATATCTGATAAAGATGCCTCCGCATGCTGTTCTGCAGAAGTTGTAGCAGCGACTGTGTAAGCACATTTCTTTTGTGGACATCACATTTGACTCGAGCGGAAAGAATAGGAGCAGCTAGAGGCATGAGAGTCATCTTGAGTATGAGTGAGGAGATGTGGGTCAACATCAGGGGCTGAAGAGGTGTCTTTCCAACAGTGCTCCTGTTGGTTTTGCATCCTTGGGGTAAGAGTGGTGGTTTCAAGATAAAACACATCCACAAAAGTGGGGGCCCCTAGTGCTTCATCTCCACCCTTCTCATCTCAAGTCAGCGTCTGTCCCAGGAGACGGGGGAGAAGTCAGCTCAAAGTCAGTTTGGGCCTAGTGCCAGTGGGACGCAGCTGCTCGTAACCGGCGCTCAGTCTCTCAGTCTCAATAAAACCTTTTCTGTGATGCCTGAGTCACACAGAGATACTGGGTAGCACAGACACTGGGTGATGAGGGCTCAGCAGTTTTGAGATGGATGACGTTTTGAAATAATCCTAGGACAAGTCAGAAAATTCTGATTTTTTTTAATGGAAATTTCTCCTTGGTATAAGTTATTCTTTTGCCTCCACATGGCTACGTTTCTTTTCCTTTTTCTCCCTCCTTCTCTCCTTTCTGCTACCTTTTGCATCTGCATGGGTCCAATGCTACAAAACAAGGTTCTTAATCTGTAGGTTATATTCCCTTAAAGAATCAAGTGAAATGGGAGCCCTCTTGGGAAAAGCACGTGTATGAACACGTATGTGCCAGTTTGTATCTGGGTCTAAAAGTTAAGAACCCCACTTAGAGAAATAAAGAGTGCCCATGCCTGGTCCAGTCTTCTGAATCGACAGTGAGCCCTTGCTTCCTGCTTTTCTGAGCATGTTTTTTTTTCTTGTGGGGTTTCTCCAGAGCTGCAAGCATTTGCTCACCATGGCCGTACCCTGCCAAGATTCCAAGTAACTCTGTGCTTCGGAGAAGAGTTTCCAGATCCTCAGAGGCAAAGGAAGCTCATCACTGCTCACGTGAGTATTCAGTCACATTCAAACGGTTGAGTTTCCTTATTCTTCATCAAGGGCAGGGGCCCGTTTAGACAGCTCTCAGAGGAAAAGTAACTGTCAAGTGACCTGGGAAAACAATGATGGTGGAAGCGTGGTCCAGGGAAATGTGCCGGGAGTGCAGCTCAGAGACCCACACACTATCCCCAGCCCTAGAGATCTACTCATCACAAACGGGGAGGTGACCTCCAACTCTGGGCCTCATTTGTCCCACCTTTTTTTATTTTTCAAACAAACTGTCATATTCCTATTTCATGGAGATTTTAAAGGATTGATGCTAAAAGTTGCCCTTTAAAATTCTCCACATTTAATATTGCTTTTAAATTGCTGTCTAGCTGATCTTCACTTGATGGAGAAGCTTTTCCCAAATGGGAAGCTGTCCACGCCTTGTGTATTTTGTAGGTCCCCTCCAAGAGGTTCCCAAACCCTCTTTCATTTCTGGATTTTTAGAAACTATGTAATTATTGAGGACCAGGGGCCACGTGTTATTTGGAAGAGGCTGAATCTTTCAAGGACTTCAAGGAGATCAGGCCGTCACAATGTTCTCCAGCAAAGTTTAAGATAGACATTTACTGTGGCAAGTAAACATCTTTTTCATAAAAAAGAAAAGAAAAAAGTCTGTATAGATAGCATTTAGCATTAATTTGCTACAGAAAACAGAATTTTGAACATGTAAGATTTTTGAATTGGAAAACTTTACGTTGCTATCTACCTTCAAGAGTTATTAATAGGCCCAGATATTGAGCAGGTAAAAAATTATGTCCAGGGCCGGCCCCGTGGCTTAGTGGTTAAGTGCGCGCGCTCTGCTGCCGGCGGTCCGGGGTTCGGATCCCGGGTGCGCACCGACGCACTGCTCCTCCGGCCATGCTGAGGCCGCGTCCCATATACAGCAACTAGAAGGATGTGCAGCTATGACAGACAACTATCTACTGGGGCTTTGGGGGAAAAATAAATAGATAAAGTCTTTAAAAAAAAAAAAAATTATGTCCAATAATATCAAAATTCAGGTCAGATTTTAGCTCTAATAACGTTTCTTATTGAAAACTGAAGTCAAACACTATCTAATCTTGAACACACAATCTCCCCTTCTTGATTAAAATCGAAAACTGACCAACAAACAAACAAAAATATAGTCCCAAAGACTTGAAAGTTTTCTCATGAATTCTCCCCAGCAGTTGATATAATTATTGGTATAGTAATTGATATCTTGTTAACAACTGTTAAATGACTAAATAAATTAGTCATTGATAAGTAGCATTTCAGAAGTTGATGATAAACTCGTGCATCAGTCTGACTTTATGGGGGTTTTACATGTGCTGGCTCTCCTCAGGGTCAGGCAGGGCCATGTTCCCCAGGCAACGACCCTGGCCTCACGCTGTGTGGTGCGGGAAAGGAAATGGACATGTATGTGTACACCCAGGAGTTCCTACTCCTCTTTCTTATGGATTTAATTTATTTCCGGTACTTCATATGAGTTGAGCTTAAGCTGTTATATATCAAATAACGTAAAGGTGCAACTTAATAACACAATTGATTGAGAGCATTCGGTTTTCTTAGATGCTGTAAATTCAGGAAAAGTTGAAAGTTGAATATTTTTTTGGTTAGTGTGATCCACACTAATAACCAAACTAGATGAATTTGAGATCAGTTAACTCCTCTCTTCCCACAATAGCAGTTTTGTTGTTTAATTTTGCTTCTTTCTTTGTCTTTTATCTGAGGTTCAGTAATTCACAAATTATCTAGGTCATCCAGGAATCATACATCATTTGGGATGAGCCCCTCATCCCTGTGACACTGCAGTTGTGGAGAAATAAATTCGTTGGTCTAATATTACCTCAAACTTTCTTTTAATTTGGTTGTTCTACCTGATTTGCTTCAGTCTTATTTAAATGTAAATTTCAAGGGGCAGTTGATTTAAAAGTATCTTCTTTAACTTCAGTTGAAACCCAGACTTAAGTAGATTCTGTAGATAGGTTGGTATATGTAAGGACTGACAAAAATTAGTTCTTCAGAAGGCTCCAAATATGAGATGTTTTGATGTGTTACAGCACCTAATCTTGGACTTCACTTTGCTGTACCCTTAGATATTGAGAGTTATTGAATGAAGAGCCAACTGCAGGAAGTTAAAGAGTATCTTGGTAATGTCTTTTTTAAATCTCTTATTGAAGGTTGAACCTCTACTAGCCAGACAACTGTATTATTTTGCTCAACAAAACAGTGGACATTTCCTAAGGGGCTATGATTTACCTGAACTCATTAGCAGTCCGGAGGATTATCACAGATCGATTCGCCACTCCTCCATTCAAGAATGAAAAGCATCAAGACAAGTGATTTCATTTCATTGTAAATATCTGACTTGGACGAGAACAGCTGGTTGAACCCCCTCTTTTTCTTCTGAGGAACTTGAAAATTGGGGCTTCAGCTCAACGCTTGAGGAGACTCTCAGCAAGAATGTGTGTCAAATATCAGCTCCATATAATTGACGGATGAGCTTATCCCCAAAGGAAGGATGGTCTTCAGGGTCTTCTTATAGACTGCCATCATTGATGATAACTGTGAAAATTTACCAAAGGGTGTGTTTACATTTACTTAAATGCTATCTTTAATTTGATGTGGATTATTTTTTGCTTGAAGACTGAGAAAACTTGTGTTTTGGTATTGACCACTAACTAGAATGATGAAAGCACTTAAGTGTGCTATTTCTCAGGGAAGTAAAGTCTAAATTTGAGGCTCCTCTGCCCACAAAAGAAACATATTAATACATGTAGGAGATGTTGCTTTTGTAGAAAATGCTTGCTGATAGAAGGAAACAGAATCTTTGACTGAGGTTGGGCCACAGTGCATCCGGCTTTGGGGTGGCTCATCACCCCTCCGGGTCTGGGTCTTCTCCCAAGGTGGGCACCCCTGCCCTGCCTCACCCTGCCTCCCATTTGCTCTCTCTTCTTGGGTGCCCCTGAAAGCCAGCTGTAGACACCATTGCTATTTTCTTGAGCCAAAGAGCATTAGGGCCACGCTTGAATGTACATTTGTGTTGGACCTACAATCTAGTAATGACTGGTTAAGATATTTTTGTTTTTCCTTTTGTTTCTCATTCTATAGAAATTATTGCTAAAACTTTTTTCTTAAAGAAGAAGAAAAGAACACAGATCAACAAACCAAGTACTAAAGATATCTTTTTGAAACTCAGCGACATTTCCCCTCTTATCCTGTTTGTTTTGTTGGCTGTCAGTTAGTTATCCATGACAACACTAAAGAGGAGGGGCCAGTGCTTTTCAAAGGAGTGAACTCTGCTAGGAAAGATGATGACAGGATTTCACAGATTGCATAACTGCAGACTCAGTGGGCTGTTTTTGCTTATTTTGTATATTATATGCTTCTTCATGCCAATAATGGTTTGATAGGGCCTTAAAATTACTGGGCTTTTTTCCAAATACTTCTTTTTATAGACTTGATAAGATCTCCATTTGCTTAAGTAAGCCTGATCACTTACCTCTAGTTTGTTTGGAAAAGTATGGATGTTTAGACTGTAATGCTGGCATCCGATATTTTTGTAATATGACGAAATAATTGCTATTACTTTCAGGCTCAGCAAAATACTTGATAGTTCTCAAATATATGCCACTCTTATTCTAACCTATATTTTTTAATTCACTCAACAAACTGTATCGCTTGCATTAGAGAGATGACAGCTTTTATCCAGCTTAGTAAGCAATGAGGCATTGGAATGTCATTTCTTTTTTTTTGTTTGTTTTTAAAAAGAGTGTTTAATGGTAAAATAATACATATTAACTACAGAAAGTGTAAACAGTATAGAAAGGCAAAAAATAAAGCACATCCTTCTTTTTCCAGCCCAAATCCTCCTCCCCCGAGGCGTCCACAAGAAGTTTGACTGATTCTCTCAACACTTTTCACTTTTCTATAAATATACATAAACTTAACTGCACCCACTTTTACACAGTGCTATTTTAACCTGACAATGCGGGTTTACCTCATTCTTTTTAGCAATGTCTTGTAGAATTCCACTGCAGTGGAGTCAGTTATTCCATTAGCCACTCAGAATGAATACGTTTGGACAGCAGATTGTATTTTGTGAACAGCCATAACTTATACATCTTATAGATGCGAAGTATTTTGGGGTATATTATCCTAAGTGGGACATGAACACGACATCAGGAGCCGCTATGACACGGCCCCACCTGCGGCCTCTTCACTGAAGTCTCTCTCACCCGCAGCTCTTCAGAGAGGTCTCTGGGGTCTGTCCAAGGCTGTTGTGTCGTCTTAATTCTCCAAGCAGAGGCTTGATTTAAATTGCTGTTGTGAGTTCTTTTGTTTTCTTTCTTTGCTTTTTTTTTTTTTTTTTAATATTAAGCTGCTTAACACTGGAGTTACATTTTCTGGTAAATCCTGTTGGCTTAGACCACTTCCCCCTTTCTCATCTTTACGCTTAGCTACATTGAATTCTTTTAATTGTGAGGGGTCCAGAGTGTGCACTAGTGAGTGAACTAATGCTGAAGAGATCACGGTGAAGAATCCTGACAGCTGTTTCAGGACTTTGAGAAGGAATGGCTGCCTCGTTTCTTGACTTGATAACGTGGCATTAACAGACTAGACTTTGTTTCTTCTCAGGGGCACTTGTTCTGGTTGCACTTGGTAGGCTAAAGAGCTTTGGACTGTAGGGAAAAGAATGTATGTCTCACAGGTGTGTGTTCCTGGCTCATTTCTTGTTTGGGGGATTTAGTGAAACCATGGGCAGTAATCAGAGTCTTCTGGAACACTCTAGGGAACCAGGGTTACCAACTCATTTAAAACCCAAACCTTTGGAACCCCCTCAGCCCTGGACAAAATGGAACATAGAGAACCCAGTAAGACTATTATGTTTGAGCTAGAAAGAGGCTGCTCCATTGGGAGAGAAGATGTAGAATCTCCAGGGAATGAGCAGCTCGGCAGTGTGGTTATCACCCCTGCACAGGTACGTCCAGGTCTGTGTTTAGGGAAAGGCATATGCTGGGCTAAGGCATGAACAAGGCTTTCTTTCCTGCGCTGCGTGTAAACCCCAGACTTGGAACAGCTCTGGGAGTCTTGATGCGGGTCTGACGTGGCTTCTGTCTGAGAGGCTGAGCAGTGGGTGGGCACACCTCCCGCATCCCATATCCCAGAGAAGGCTCGCTCCTGCACTGGCTGCACCAGTGAAGGGCACTTGATTTTTTTTTTTTGCATCAAGTTATTTTTTTAGTAAAAATCCAGACACAGTTCAGACCCCCTTTCCTTCCTCTTTGATCACATTTCTCCCGTTTCTCCACAGGTGAATGTTTTTCTGAAGTGGTGAGCTTCCTTAAGGTCTCTATTTTTATTATGTAGCTCCCTAAATAGTTTGTAGCTGACTTGCAGCTATTTAAATGTTGCGTCAGGGCTGTCTTGCCATATGTATTGTTCTGCAACTTGCTTTTCCACAGCCCCATCTTTGAGACTGACCCATGTCAATGTAGGTGGATCTCATCCATCATTGTTAACTGTTGTTGAATAGCTTGTCACATGAATGCAGTGAGGTCAGATTTCCTGGTATTTATTTTCACTGCTTTTAGGAAAGCCTGTGTATGAAGTACAGCTGAAGTGGAGAAGAAGAGAGAGGAGATGTGGAAGAGAAAAGGAAAGCCAACAGGCTAATCCTCCTTCAATATAAACTCATATTTTGCTTTAGAGTCTTGAGATGGAAGGGATCTGATAGGTAGTGGGGTTCACTCCCCTGCACCCCCATTTTATATATATATAGGTGGATAGGACCAGGTCACTCCCTTGACTTCAGTCAAACACTGTGCTGGTTCCACCTTGTTGCCGAGCCTCCCAGGCAAGGGTGTCTGGAGAAGCAGGTTGACCATTCCATGGACAATAGCTGTACATAATTGTGTCATGAATTTTGGTGTAAATTGCTCTTCAAAGCAGATTGATATTTGTGATAATCTGGTGTTTTAGGTAGTTGATAAATAAAGACTTTTTTAAAAAAGTAATGGACTGTGTGTGTTATTAAGCGCTCATCTTGGTAGCTTTTGAATACTTCCTCCTTCTGTTGCGTTCTCTCAGTGAGGCTGCTTTGGCAGCCAGCTTCCTTCCTGGTTCTCGTGTGCGTCCCTAAAATCAGATCTCAAAGAGTTCAGCTTGTTTAAAACAAAAATGACTGCAAAACTTATCTGGGCATCAGGCAGTCCCCCCAACGGGTGTGTTAGAAGGTCTGGTCGACCTGGGGAAACTATCATGAATGTTTCCTTTTATATTCACCGCTCCTTTGGTTTTGTTGTTGTTGTTAAGGGGGGAGGATGTAGGTTAACCAGCATGCTGAATGTGAAACACAGTACAAAACTGTGTGTGGAGAAGAAGCACAGTGTGAGCTGGAATCCCCTGTGGCCCTTGGTGTCCCTCTGTGTGCTGTGGACTCATCTCTGCAGCCAGACGAGGGGTACTCCTTTCTCAGCCTTTGTGTTACTCTGTTTTTTAGATGACCTGGCTCCTTCCACCCTGTCAGCTGTGCTCCAGTACTAGTCTAGCTTCCGACATAGGCCAGCTGCAGCCTGTGGTGTTAAAATCCTTGCAGCCAAAGATTGCATGGAGCTGTCAGAAATTGTCATTCGCATGTAGGAGCCCCAGAATATTAGATTAGAGTGATTTTGTATTTGCTAAATGGTAACCAAAGAGAAATAATGGACAATAAACTATCATACTGTTTAGGGGGCTCCATCTGCTCAGCAAGTGTGGATGGACTTGAGTCACTGTACATAAGCAAGTTTTTTTCAAATAATATATCAACTCTTTATATCTAAATGAGTTTCAAAGGGATTTTGACCTCCTGAACTTGCTCTTAAGTAATTTTACACCTCCTTCAGGCACCAATGTTTATAAACCTTTCTTTACACACAGTGCAAGTTTGTGTTGGATTCAGTTTCCTTAAAGCACGTATTCCCCTGACAAATACATGCTCTCATATAAAGTGCACTGCCCACGCTTATCTATGCCGGAAACACATCATCAGATTCCACATCATCTCTCTGGAGAGAAACTCCAGGGGACATAATATCTCGTTTTTTCCAGGACAGGCTGTACTTAAATTAACCCAGGCAGGTAGATAGATACCTTCTGAAGCAGTGGCGAGTCATGAATTGTAGGGGTTATCGGTCCTGGAAAACCAGGTGCTCCTTCCAGTGACCCCATTCCTCCAGGCTGACAACGTGTTGGCAGGTGGCTGTCCTTAGAGACTTCCTCAAAGGCAGGCAGGGGCCTTGGTGTGCTGGTGTCAACAGAATGGCCTCCCACATCCTTGTTTAGACCATCTGTCTGGCACGATCTGTTGTCAAGTTCATTTTATCCCAGTCCTTGAGCGACCGGTCAAAAGTTTGGAATCTGTGGAGTTCTCTTCTTTTGGTAAATTACAATTCTCAGTTTTTCCCCTTTTCCCATAGGCTTGGGTATGATGATGCATTTAAAGAGAATCATCCCAGCAAACATAACATCCTTTGCCTCTTACTTCCTGTCCTTGTGGGTCAGGCTTCTATAGCAGACGTTATCTGGAGGAAAATCAGCAGATGTGTCTGGAACCTCTGCCTTTATTCCTTGCCGTTTCTC